CATAGTTTACCAGAGTACTTTTTGATTTTAACATTCACAAACATTGAAACAATAATATGAGAACTAACGATGTTATTTAAAAAAAACACTTGTACATCACAAGTCAGTCAGTCAATTACAACGTAGAACTTCGCACGTACATACATCAGTTCAAGTTGTCAATATCACATTTGCACAGAGATACAATTGTCAATTCAAATCCCATAGTAGTAGGGTTAGTAGAAGAATTAGAAGTAATGGAGAAGATTAGAAAGCGAAGATATGATTCGAGAAGTATAACTCAGTGGAATTAATTCAGAAAGAGAAAGATAAAGGTGATAAGGAATTCAGAAGGTTAGGATTTGAGAGAACACAAAAAGTGGATGCACCCGCGCCATTGCAAACGATTCTGAGCTATGTCGTTCAAGGTCTCTAACCATTGTCGTGGACCCCAACCAGGTAGTCTACATCTACCAACATGACTCAGTCTACTTGTCTGTGATTTCATGGATTAGTGCCATGTTTTGGTTTGGTCGCCCCTAGCTTTCCTCATACCTACTCCTACACCACAAAACAGTTCGACTAGGCAGTCGATGGTTGGGGATTCGTAGCACATGTCCCAACCACCTCAACTGATGAAGTTTCAACTGGTCTGCCATCCTTACCTAGTACCCGTCTCATAACAACAAAACTGTTTATTCAATGCTCCTTTGGAGACATCTATGATTGAAAACCTGTATTCTACGAATATCTTCTACTCTTACTGGCCATGTTTCACAGCCATAATGTAAGACAGGGGGAACTGCTGTGCAGTGAGCTCGTCCTTTGGTTAACAGGCGGATATCTCGTCTACGCCATAAGTGACAAGTTGGTACACGAGACCAACTCAGTCACAATCAAATCCTCTAAATATCAATAATATATTCTTAGTATACAAATTTTGACTACATGTAATTGAAATATCTGCCTACGTGGACTGATACTTTCAAAAGTCAACTAGGAGTTTCGTGGATTATCAAAATAAAATTAGTTAAGGATTATCTAGTCAGTCAGTCAGTCAGTCAGATGCAACGTAGAACTTTGTACGTAAGTACATCAGTTCATGTTGCCATACCACATCAGCACAGAGATGTAATTGTCAATTCAAATCCGATAGTAGAAAAGTAATCGGAGAGGTTAGGATTAGAAGATATTCAAGAAATATGATTCAGTGAGAAAAGTTTAGAAAGTCAAAACTAGAGGTGTTGAAGAATCCAGAAGATTAGGATTTGAGAGAACACAAAGAATAAATGCACCGGCGCCAATGCAAACGGTTTTGAGCCATGTCATTTAGGGTCTCTAACCAACCCAACCAGGTAGTCGAAAACTACCGACATGGCTCAGTCCACTGGTCAATGACTTCATGGATTTGTGCCATGTTTTGGTTTGGCCGCCGCTAACTTTCTTCCAACCTATTCCTACACTACAAAATAAAGCTCGTCGAGGCAGTCGGTGGTTAGGCATACGCAACACATGCATGGAAGATTTAAACGGATCCAAACTATTCTTGACGTTGGTTTTAACAATGGATTGAAATTAACCGGGAAACTAATGAAAACCAGAGAATATTGGACAGTTGTTTTGTTTTTGCATGAAGACGCGGCAGCAGTATTCAATAAGCAGTTTTCTTTGTGACATTGATGGAAAGCCATCACGGTTACCAAAACCAAAAGAACAAAATATTTATTTAACATAACTGTGAGTAAGTTCTGTTTATACCATCCTGTGTGTCTGTTTTAAGGCTTTCAAGATAGACTTTGAATATCTTCGGATAACAAAGTAATTTAACATTACTCATACAGCTTAAATACTCACAGTTCTTGATTACTGACACCTACTACCCGAAGTCAGTTTCTTTATGAGCATCTTGTAGGCTTTTTTTTGCAATTTGTTTCACAAATTTCTTCAAAAGTGAATATTAATTTATGCCTCGGATAAATTGATCAGACACTAATTTAACATTTTCTGAAGACTCCAAGTAAATGTTGAAGACTTTTCATCAACACTAAGTATCACTTTATGACGAATTTATTTTCTTACTAAATTGGATGCTTCAAATGTCCGCCTTATTTAAACAAAAAAAGGCTGTTTACATCTTTCTTCAACGGAATTTCAATACGTGATTCTACTAGCCCTTATTTATAGTACCTTTTTAGAGAAAAGGGAAAGTCCGATGAGCAACCATTCCGCTTGTTCACAAAGTTTATTATGGATGTTTTTTTTAAATGATAATCAACATAAAAAGAGAACGATTCGACAGAAAGATTATTTCTCGGCATCTGGTTGTCTATCTTTCAACATAAGAATCAGCCTATATAATTTTTGTTCGAAACAATCAGTCTTCTAATTCCGTATCAGATTCATATTTGACAGTTGGATTAGTCATTCTGACTCTAACTAATGAATGCAGCTAATCTGAGGTTTATCACAACAACTCAATCGATCTCAGTTACCCCAATCAAGTCTCCAAGACTGATTCAGTCCAAATCCCACTGTATTTACCAATTCACATGTAACTGCAGAGAAAGTTACTTAGGAAGGACAGATCGCCGATTGGAAGACAGGAGATAGGGGAACATATTCCAAAATGGCTAATCAAATCCATGTTTCATCAACCTAGCCCGTCATCTCAAAATCGATCAAGAAACCCAGCCTCATCCATTGCAAAACATCTAATGATGAGTGGTCATCAAATTGACCCAAAATCAGCCTTTAGAGTTGTGACATGTCATCAAAACCCACACACACACACAATGAAACTACTCGAAGCTATCTTGATTGGTCGGAAAAGTTCAACTTTATGTGTTCAAAAACAACTGTATGTTGACCTTTGTTTACCATGGTTCTAGTGAGTGAATGTCATGCTAAATAAGAAATTTTGACCTTATCCTCAAAACTGTATTTACACAAATAACATGTTGCTTGTATGTGACTGATGAGAAAGCACGAAATGGTACTACTATCTCACAAAATATGTCTTGTTATTTCTCTATTCAAATCTAACTAATGAGTTTTTAAGATGTTTTACGAGAGAGAGAGAGCGCGCACAAGCAGTATAACATGTGTAACAATGAAACTAAGGATGATTTCTGATCTGAAAATTATTGATCAATCAGATCAATATGTGTGTGTGTGTAGTTGACGACGGATCATTACTAGTTGGACTCTATATCAAACAGAAAACCTGTTGACATCTCATCACGTCCATAATCTAATCAGATTGACAATGAAAATTTTAAACCACATAGTCGATCCTTTGAATCATGTAACTGCTCAGTTCAAAAAACCTCTTAACCGATATGTTAACGTAAGACATAATATCATCATAAACAGCAATAATTGTGTTAGTCAACAACACGAACAGATCTTTCATATCTATGAATATTATTCTCAATAACAAATGTGTAATTATTTATATACTTTGTTATTTAGTAGGTATATTTTTGTTTCAGGAAGAAGCGGGGCAAATGGATAGGACACATACTACGAAAAGCATCTAACTGCGTCACAAGACAAGCCCTCACTTGGAACCATCAAGGCAAAAGGAAAAGAGGAAGGCTAAGGAACACATTACGCCGAGAAATAGAGAAAGATATGAGAAAAATGAACAAAAATTGGACAGAATTGGAAAGGGAAGCTCAGGTCAGAGTTGGTTGGAGCAAACTGGTCGGCGGTCTATGCTCCATTGGGGGTAACAGGCGTAAGTAAGTAATATTTCTGTTGAGAAAGAAAGTGTATGGATGCTTGATTGCTATTACGAGTACACCTTACACAGTAAACGAAACGAAATACATGACTCAGTGACACGATAAGGTATTCTAATCCGATTGTCCCAGGTCCCACTAACTAAAGCAAGAAGTTTTGATAAGGCGTAGAAATTGTATTCAACAAGTGACACTTCATCAGTTGAGGTGGTTGGGACATGTGTTGCGTACGCCCAACCACCAACTGCCTCGACGAGCTTTGTTTTGTGATGTAGGAATAGGTTGGAAGAAAGTTAGGAGCGGCCGACCCAAAACATGGCACAAATCCATGAAGTCATTGACGAGTGAACTTAGCCATGTCGGTAATTGTCGACTACCTGGTTAGGGTCCGCGAGATGATAATAATCGATGGTTAGAGAGACCTTGAATGACATGGCTCAAAATCGTTTGCGATGGCGCCGGTGCATTTATTCTTTGTGTTCTCTCAAATCCTAATCTTCTGGGTTCTTCAACAACTCTAGTTTTGACTTTCTAAACTTTTCTCATTAGATCATACTTCTTGAATAATATCTTTGATCCTAACCTCTCCGATTACTTCTAATACCTTTACTACCTCTTCTACTATTGGATTTAAATTGACAATTACATCTCTGTGCTGATGTGGTATGGCGACGTGAACTGATGTAATTGTGTACGAAGTTCTACGTTGCATCTGACTGACTGACAACAAGCGCACCCAGAAGATACAAGATTTTTAAGCACACAATTCAAGTTTATTTATACAATGGTAGAAACCCCCTTGGTGAGAGCCACAGAAATATCGTACTAAAATAATCAATCAACCAATGACAGTCAAGGATTTTCCAAGTGGGAAATGTAAGCTCAAGGTTGACTAAGCAACTTATGCGCAAAAACATAAAAAATACAAAATTAGGACCATTTCCAAGTGAGTTCTGGGGATCGAACGTCCCCAACAATGATGCCAATAGTTATTCGGCTATCAAAGATGATAAAATTCAGATAATTCTTATCGTAAACTGACGTTGACTTCTTAAATTTTGAACTACTTATTAGTATATATATATCATAAGAAATTTTAACAATTAAGTTTGAGTCTAGTGATTTACAATCTAGTCAACTTTATCTACTATCATTAAACATTGCGGTTACTATTTCAACCTTAATTTGATTCAATAAAACAAATACAGTATGCTGAATTCAATCAATAAACAAACAAATTATGTAATTTACAAGAAACATTCAAAATCCCATACATACCTCTGATGTCTCATTGAAAGTAAACCATAAACGACCAACTTCTTCAACTAATGACTCATCAATTGTTAAACCGGACTCTTCATTCAATTCACGAAGTGCAGCAGCTTTTGCGTTGACATCATCCGATTGAACTTTACCACCGAATCCATTCCATCGACCTTTACCAAAACCACGTTGTTTTAAACCTAAAAGTAACCATGATTGATTACAATCTATGCCTGGCTCTTGTACTTTAATCTAGAAAGATAATTTTGAAAATGAAAGTAGTTTGTTTGTACAAGCTTCAATGATTCAAGCTAAATTATCTTGAATTCTTTCTTCATGAACAAATCATCCAGACTCATAAACAAAGACTCTAGTACAAGTGTGAATTCGAATGACTATTGACAGACATTATGTAAGCATCAGTCTTTTACTTGTTAAGAAAATACGTAACCATTGTATGGAGTAAAACTAGTTCCCTTAGAACAGATAGGATTTCATCTTTCAGTTTATAGACATTTCATGTCTGAAGACTTTAGGTAATCTGACTTTCCCTTAGTGAATGAACTACAACTAGTCATTTCTTTAGAATGTTTTTGAACAAACTCATGCTAATTTAAAAATGTTTATATACAGTTTGACTACTAATATAAAATAAGTAGGTGAAATATATACAAATAAGTTTTATGGTTTATCTTCAGTCGCCAAATACATAATGAACCAAGCTAAATATTTTACAACTACTAACCATGAAGTCAATTTCATAATAATAGCTGAGACATTGATTCACTAGGCATAAGCTACATTACAAACTGAGTTAGATCGACAATTTCAACTTCTGGGTCCCAGATAAACGACGATTCAATAATGTTGTTGTTGTGGTGATATTCTAATATTCAAGTTTGAACTTTATGTTCAATTGTGGATCGACTACTCTTGAGAAGCAAGTTGTTAGGGGGACAAAGATGGATTAAAGCATGACTGCGTCAGTTGCACGCTGATTGGCTAATTCTTATCCAATCAGCGCCTGATCGATTCTTGGAGAACAGGGTAGAAGATTCTCGTACTGTTAGCTGCGGGCTGATTGGTTAAATTTAATCCAGTCGATCACGTGAATTTCTATCCAGAAGCTTCTCATGTAAAAGCTATAAATAGATTAACGTTGTATCTATATTTGACTTCGCCATCACCTTTGGCTTCTTGTTTCCATCTAACCTTGCTATTTGGAATATAATCTTTTCCTGTTCAACCATGTTTTTGATTCTTGGCGACTTGTCCAGTGTATTGTGGTCAGAGAATACTAAGCAATAGGATTTAGCCGGGAATTATATAAGCAAGCATTACAACACAAGTCATAAGATTTTCTATCATGTTTTGACATTTCAATGGTTTTATAGTAAAGAACCACGTTAACAGTTCATAGTAGATCAAGTTTGTAGAAGAAAAACTATATCAGAGAATAAAATTCTCGAAGTGTGCATGCAATCAATTCTCTAACGCAACCAATAAATCTTGAATCGATCTAAAGGTTAATTCCCCTTTTAAGAGTAATAATAATCTAAGGCATTAGTGGCATTGTACCAAAATTAATAAGGGCTGATTACAAAGTCACTTGACCTATTCTCTTTTTCATATTTGTTTAATTATTTAAACATATAAACATTGGTACACCTGAGGCAGCTACATATTTAGGCGCCACATAAACTACTGAATTTGTGAATGGGCTTGAAGAGGTGGTTTTCTTAGGAGACCATAAACCACGCCTTTGAATCAAAAGTCTAATCTACAAGGCAGTGAAAGAAGTCCCATGGTAGCCGGTGACCAACAATTGGTTCATATACTATTTCGTCCCATCAAGATCCTAATGTCTATGTGCAATATTGATTTGGAATCAGATGTTTCCAACTCGCTTAAGTGGTTCCTCTGCACCCACAAACCCGGTTAAAGTAATGAGCAGGTGACACCGGTGGTCAGTCAATCAGCTACAACGTAGCACTTCGGACGTATATACATCGATTCAAGTTGCCATATCATATTAGCACACAGAGAGTTGGAATTATCAATTTAAATCCCCTAGTGGTTGAAACAGTGGAAACATCAGCAGTAATGAAGAATATTAGAGTTCGAAAATATG